ATCCTTTGGGATAGCTTAGGCTGAGAAAGCAATTAATACTTTATTTTATTTTCCTTCAGCAATGACACACTAAATTGATCAAAAGTGACTGTAGAAATTATTATGAAACCTAAAACATTCTTAGAATTTTCAGTTCCTGTATAAACCCAGGCTCATTATGGATACATACGTCACAGGAGGTACTTTTTTTTTTTTTGCAGTTTTTGTTTTCGCAAATCCACCAGAGGCTGCTGTGTACACATTTTCAGATCTCTAATTTCTCTCCCGAGTGCCATTAGCACCAGATCTTCTCACGTAAATCCACAAGAGGCTGCTGTTGAATAACCGACAGACCAATAACCCCCTCCTCCTCCCCTAAACCCAACCAGTAGTGTTTTAAAAGCACAGACTGACCAGTGCCCACCTGCTTCCCTAAACCCAACCGATTTTTACCACAATTTTTGATCCACATTCTCACCCTGTTATTTACTTGTTTATTTATTTTTTTGTCTTTTGTTTTTGTTTTATTTGCTGTCTTGAGCCATTCTTTGCCAGACTTCAAACCATATCATCACGACCAACTCCTCTTTGCGTTTCAAGTCCACAGACGTACATAGTGAGCTACTGGGCAAACTGGTAATAGCAAAAGATACATCCAACTAAAAGTAAGTTGTCAGCTGGTAGCACAAAAAGAAACAGAAGCCATCTGCGAAGTCATACCACATCGTAACGTTCGCTATAAAGGCTAAATGCAGCCATGCAGTACATAGCTCTGGCTGATACATGCTGTAATTCACACTCTCCATAAATGTATACCGGGGTACAATGAGCCTATGTTGAAAAATATGGAGTATTCCACAAATCTGTTAAACAATACAGCCATAATATTTTTATGGATTAGATAGGATTTTATTAGGATTATTTAGAATTTTGATGTCTTTTTCATACTTTTCATCAAATAAACATACTGTAGCATTGCTGAGCTCTTTTCATGACGGTCTAATGTGAGCAAGGGCAGACACATTACAACACAAATAAATCAAACCACTTTAAAAACACTTTGCTCTAATTGCATCATGGTAATACCTGCTGAGAGTCAATTCTGCCCGTCATCATTACGGACTTGACATTTAGACATTTTAAAAGTGCTATAATCAGGTTTTCTTAATCCCTCTTGTTTCATTTTTCTTTTATTCTCACCCAGATTGAATCTTGACAATATAAATAATATTCAAATGTGACCCTGGACCACAATAAATGCCATAAATGTCAATTCTTTAAAACTGTAACTGAATAAATAAGCCTTCCATTGATATATGGCTTGTTATGATAAAACAATATTTATTCAAGATAAATATATTTGAAAATCTGCAATCTAATTTCCAAATGTAAATATTGAAAAAAATCACAATAATTATATATAATAATTATTATATATAGATATTATATATATATATATATATTTTCTATATAGTTTTTATATATTTACAGCATGAAATGTTAAAACAGCTTTATGGAACAAGATATTCACAATATTTAAAAGATATTTTAGCATAAAAGTATTTTATTTTGACTCATACAGTGTATTTTTAATTATTGCCAAATAATTTACTTAAACATAAAAGAACATACTGTAAGGTTTTGTTATTCAGGGCCACACAAAATAAAAATGACCTCAATACATCTCATTACACCTCATTACATAATAAACATTCTTTTGTTTAGAGATGATTTTGTGCATTTATATACTATCAGTTTACAAACCTATCGCGATAAAGGAGAGAAAAGGGCATATCAGATTGTTGATTTATGGTAACACAAATCATTTTGTCTCTGTAGCATCACAGAAACTGCAAGTGTCATTCATCCATCACAGCAAGAGAGGATTTTACACTTCTGACATCAGCGTGTGACACACTAACACTAGGGCAGGTGGCATCTGTGTGAATGTGTGTGCGCTACAGAGTGAGACAGGTGCAGTTTAACAGACAGTTAGTGCTGATTGTGTTTCCATTGGTAACCGCAGAGTAAAGCTGCGGTCACACCAGAGTTTAAGTTTACGAAATTCTGTCGTACAGCTCTGCGAAAAGGGGCGGGATTAAACAAGCTTATTAGACATTTTTAAAAGCTAGCAATTGCTCCATGTTTTAAATTTCTGTCCAGAGATTTCATGTTTTGATCCTCGATTGGTCTCACGCAGTCAAGTGATGCGATTTCGCAGGTCAGTGTTCACCAAGCTTGAACTTTGAACCGCATCATCTTGCGAAACTTGACGCATGACCCTGCGTTTCCGGTCTGAAGCATTTGCGTGCGTATGAATGGAAGTCTATGGGAGGAAAAGCCCAGTGTGACCGCAGCTTCAGGATGATCAGTGATTATAACGTTTATGTACATAAAGCTCTAGAGAAGTGTGTAATTACTATATATTGCAAGATGCAAGTCAATGCCACTCATATTAAAGTGTCTAATTCAAATGTGCAAGTCATGGATTAGTTAGAGCATGTTAGGTTATGGCTCGTTTCATGTTTATTGTGCGCGTTGGTGTCCTTTTACATTTTAGAACATTACTAATCACACAGTTTGAGCCATTAGATGCATACATTACAAACAAATATTATCTAAAGTAAAATCAATCTATTATGATCTTAGTTTTACTGTATTTTTTAATGTGTGATACACTATGTCTGTCACACCTCAGACATCTTGCCCATTTGCAACTATATACAACAACGTAAAATCATATAATGTTTTCTTTACATAATACATTAAAGAGATATTTCATTTATTACTGTATTAAACTTTTAAAATGATCAATAATGGTAAATGCCATGTATCATTAATTAAGCTGTACAGTATCTCTCATCTTCTGTTATCATTTACCATACAAAAACATCCTTAAAAACTGGCAAAATTACATAAAAATATATGTGTATAATTCGGACCCTGAAACAAAGTTTCTTTAATTGTTTCTTTGCTTTTTATACTTGGCAAGTTTATTCATTCATACACTTTCCCTCGGCGTAGTCACCTTATTCATCAAGGGTCGACACAGCGGAATGAATCACCAACTAATCCAGCATATGTTTTACAAAATAGGTCCCCTTTTAGCTGCAACCCAGTACTGGGAAACATCCATATACTATCACATTCACACACACTATGGCTAAAATGGATTGTGGGAGAAACCTGAGGACCCGGAGGAAACCCACGTGAACACGTGGAGAACATCCAAACTCGACACAGAAATTATATAGTGGCTCAGCTTGAACCAGCGAACTTCTTGCTGTGCTGCGCACCGTGTGACCCCTTGGCATGTTCTTTTTGGTACAATTCTTTTGTTAGTAGAGCAGAAACTACAATCTAAGCCATATGCTGCACACCCAATGTGTCATTTTCATTTCCAAGCAAAACCAATAAAGAGAATCAAGCTACAAGTGTGCAGCAAACAAGAGTACAGTGCAGCACTTTAATAAAGATACATTTAATTTGATTATTTATACAATGAAGATGATGCAGTGTTGTTTTACATTGTTTTTCAATTTCTGTATCTGAATAATGTTTGACAAAACCATAAGGCAACACTGCTTGTAATTTGTTTAACATTTTATGCATGATTCAGTCCCCTGATGTGAATTATTGAACACTATCCAGATAGAGTTATTCAATGCATCTGATGAAACTATTCCAGGCGACGCGGTGACGCATTAGGTAGTGCTGTCGCCTTAAAGCAGTGGTCACCAAACTTGTTCCTGGAGGGCCGGTGTCCTGCAGATTTTAGCTCCAACCCTAATCAAACACACCAGAACAAGCTAATCAAGGTCTTACTTGGTATACTTGAAACATCCAAGCAGGTGTGTTGAGGCAAGTTGGAGCTAAACCCTGCAGGGACACCGGCCCTCCAGGACCAGGATTGGTGACCCCTGCCTTAAAGCAAGCAGGTTGGTGGTTTAAGCACCGGCTGGGTCAGTTGGCATTTCTGTATAGAGTTTGCATGCTCTCCCTGCATTCGCATGGGTTTCCTCCAGGTGCTCCGGTTTCCCCCACTGTCCAAAGTCATGTGGTACAGGTAAATTGAGTAGCCTAAATTGTCCGTAGTGTATGAGTGTGAATGAGAGTGTATGGGTGTTTCCCAGTGATGGGTTGCAGCTGGAAGGGCATCAACTGCGTAAAACATATGCTGGATAAGTTGGTGGTTCATTCTGCTGTGGCGACCCCACATTAATAAAGGGACAAAGCCGAAAAGAAAATGAATGAATGATGAAACTGTTTATATCGCAACATTTACCACAGTAAATTAAAAGATGTCGTGCAGCTCTAATTCTAATGATGTATTAAACTCCTAACTACAACGAAAACGCAAAAGGTACAGTTTGCCTGAGCATTGGACCTTTTTATGGTCGCAACTTGTGAAATTCATTGTGTCTTGTTTTTGGTTTGATTGAAGGGACTGATTTGTGTCGTCATTGTTTTATAGTCAAACTAAAGAGTTTGTTTAAATGAGAACAAAAATACAGTTTTAGCTTGTTTAGTGCACACAAGGTTCAAATAGCAGCATTCACACTTACTCAAATTACCTGCAATTGCACCAGAGTTGATTTTAATAATCCAGACATACCAAATGTATACACATCCTCCATTTAAAGGGTTAGTTCATTAAAAAATGAAAATTACTTCATCATTTACTCTCTCTCTCTCTCTTTCATGTGGTTTTAAATATTTTTGAGTTTTTTCTGTTGAACACTATTTTGAAGAATGCTGGTTGATATAGGACTCATTGACTTGCATAGTGAGGAAAAATGAAAAATGTACATTTTGTTTATCAAAGTAACTATATATTCAAACTATAAACTACATATAAGTATGCTTTAGTTATATTAAGTATGTTTACCTGCTTTTAATCACACTATAAATACGAATATATAATTATTTTAAGTTTCACTGTAAGACAAAAGTTATATATCTCTTTGTGATATGGTCATATTTTCCCCTTAACCCATGTTATTTGGAATCAGATCTCTTACCCTGGCTGCACGCGAAGAATAGGGATCTTCAAAGAGCGCCCATATTTTTGGTTGCCAAACTTCACAGCATCCCCTGGAGCGGTCGGGGCTGTCCTCAATGCCAAAGCGTCTGGGCATGTCCTGGTCATCCTCCGCGTCCTCAGGATCCGGCGGCTCGAATATGTCCAGCGCCTCCTCTGCGTCCCTGTGCTGGCGGTAGGTCATCCAGCAGCAGGGCTCCACGTCCGTCTCGTCGATGCCCCAAAACGCCAACTCCTCCTCGAACAGAGGGCCGCACACATCCGCCGGGCAGTGGAGCTTGCCAGTTCTGTAGTAGTTCAGCACATAGGCGAATATGCCAGGGTGTCGGTCAAAAAAGAACTCGCTGTTCGGGTGCGTCTGCCCGGTGTCTGCGTCCGGGTTCACCTGGCTGTCCGTGTCCGCGAGCCAGGCGAGTCTGGAGCCCGGTATGGTCCTCAGGGTGCTCCTGTAGGTTTCGTGGCGCGTTCCGCCGACGTTGATGATGATTTTGTCCGAGTCTTCGCATCTGGCCATCTCTTCCTTCAGACATGATTTGGAAGGAGGTTTGTTGCCTGACTTGCGCCCGCGGTACGACGAAACACACACCGAGCTGATCATAGATTTCGATGGAGAGGCTTTTATTTAGTGACTCTCTTGGCTTTCTAAACCAGCGCAGCTGCTGTCAGTTACAAAAGTCGCACAACTGTAGAGAGTTTCCGCCGTCAACATGACCGTGAGACGCGGGAAGAACCACCTGTTACCGGAGAAACTCCTCGGTTTTTTCTTTCTGTCTACAGGTTGCTGCTGGTGCTGTTCCTCGTGTATGGGCACTTTGGCACGATAGTAAACAAAAAACATTTAAAAATAGCTCAAATGTTTGTCTAAAAACGAGTCTCTTACTAAACTCTCGTCTCTTTGTCGCTGCATTAGTGAATTCCAGCCTGTTGTCACGTGCGCGCGCATTATTCCTGACACAACATTGAGTTAATAAGGGTAAGTTTGATTGTACATCTGTATGAGGATAAAGCGTCTGTTGTCGAAGGGTGAGACGGGATCAGTTTGTTGAGAAAGATCTGTTGCATGTAGTGACAGTCAGGCGACACTGCCCATGGGAGGATGATGAGGATGATGATGATGCTCCAGTGTCTCGGTAACCCTTACAGCGCTGCATACGTATGAATGTGAGCTCAATTTGATTAGTGAAGAGGAAAGCTTTTGTTTATTCGATTATTGGCGATATTTCAAGGAATATGATGACGCATTTCCGCACTAATTAGCATCGTAAATCTGACTGTTTATATTTATATTTTTAGATTTTAATTACCTTTTATGCATATATTTAACACTGTATTTGTGTTTGATTATCCTGCCAATCCATATAAAATGTCCTTAAGTCTAGAAAAGTTGTATAATTGTATTTAATTCTGTTTTATGTAGACTACATGCATGGCAATGTTGTTTCAAAAAAGAATGTTGTTTCGAAAAAGTAACCTGTACGGGAATTAAAAATATTACAATTAAATAAACATTTAATATTCAAGATATGAATGCTTAATTAAATAAGTACATGTGAGAAACTTGACATCAGATATAATGTAAATTGGGTCCAAGTCTTCTATCATGTTGAGTGTTCTGTAAGAGTTGAGCAGTTTGGCCTACAACGTCACCTAGTGTACAAAATTAGGTAAAGCAGGTTTAACCCCCTTTATTTATTTATCTGTTTGTTTGTCTGTCTGTTGATTTATTTATTGGTAGTAAAGAGCTATAGTAATTGAAGTTAATTGTTATGAAAAAGATGAACAATATACAGATGTCAATTTGTCAAGTTTTACGTTTCATTTATTGTGGGATTGTAATTATGTTGTACAATTTTGGAAACATTTTGGATAATTTATTAAGGATAATACACAAGATGTTTCTGTTTTAAAGATATTATTTTTAATCATTATGAATCTGCCTCTACTAAAAGAAATGCTTGTTTTGCTATAAATTTATTTTCTTAGTAAATTCCATATCAGCAAATGCAAATTTACTTAAAAACCAAACTATATATTTCCTGATTTATTTTTTGGTTTTTTTTTTTTTTGCAAGAATTAAATCATTTTTTTAAATATAATTTCTTTATCTGAAAATGGGAAAGCAAACAGTACAATTTTATTTTTATGGCTTTAATTTCATTCATTTATTGAATGAAATTAAATAAATGAATTTATTTGAAAATGTATGTATTTGGTTTATGTATTACATACCAAAATACATAAATACAAATTTATGTATTTGGTTGTTACAGCTTAACCAGCGACTTATCCAGCATGTGTTTTACGCAGCGAATGCCCTTCCAGCCGCATCCCATCTCTGGGAAACATCCACACACACACATAAACACTACGGACAATTTAGCCTACCCAAATCACCTGTACTGCATGTCTTTGGACTGTGGGGGAAACCGGAGCACCCAGAGGAGACCCATGCGAATGCAGGGAGAACATGCAAACTCCACACAGAAACACCAACTGACCCAGCTCGAACCAGTGAGCTTCTTGCTGTGAGGCGACAGCACTACTTACTGCCCCACTGCGTCACTGGCTTTAATTCATATACTGTAATTGGTTCTTAAATGGCTTACCCTCAAGTTTATTTCATGTTCTTTATTATTTTTTTTAATTTCTTTCTCTCTTGTACATTTTTCATGGACAATGTAATTCACATTATTGTTGTACACAAATATCGATGTAAACATGTCAACTGTTTTTTGCAACAAAAAATAAAATGCTTTACTTTAGATCTGCAAAAAAAAATAAAAGCCCTAAATCAAAAGTTGTGTTTCACATTTGAATTTGCAAATATTTAGAGCAACACAAGTGTCACTATTTTTGTGTGTTCACATACCACGATCCAAAACATTTACTGAGTGTTATTCCTTTTGAGGTATACAAACAAAATTTACATGTCATTTTTTTCCACCCTGCTTTTTTAAACAGAAAAATAAAGACAGATTTCGAAGGATTTCTTGGTTTAAATTGGCATTTTTTTAATTGTCGAAAATGATAAATACCAAATAAAATACAATAAAACATTACTGAAAGACAATTTGCAGGGATGGCCAAACTCAGGTTTCCTGCGTGTTTTAGTTCCAACCCCAATCAAATACACCTGAGCCAGCTAATCAAGCTCTTTCTAGGTATACTAGAAACTTTCAGGCAGGCGTGTTAAAGGAATTTGAAGCTAAACTGTGCAAGAAACCGGCATTCCAGAACCGTGCTTGGAGTTTGGACACCCTTGCCTTAGAGCATTAAAAAACATTTGACAAACAAGATATAAAAATAATTTAGCACAATAAACTAGACATATGTCTTATTTAAATCAGTAATTAATAGAACTCCATGTGTATGCACACTTTACTATCTCTAGTCCACCTCTTCAATGGTGGGGCCCTGTGATGATTCAGGCTGGGCTTGGAATCCACATCCACCTGCAGGAGGAGCTCCTCCCTGATACAGCCGCGAGATGATTGGATTGCACACACTTTCCAGTTCCTTCTGATGATGCTCATACTCTTCCTTTTCAGCCAGCTGATTGTTCTCCAACCAAGAAACGACCTCTGTACACTTATCAATGATCTTCTTCTTATCCTGTTCGCTGATCTTTCCCCTCAGGTTCTCATCTTCAACAGTGTTCTTCATACTGAAGGCGTAAGACTCCAGAGCGTTCTTTGCTGCGATCTTCTCTCTCTGCACTTCATCCTCGGCTTTGTACTTTTCCGCATCTTGCACCATACGCTCGATATCCTCCTTGCTCAGTCGACCTTTGTCATTGGTTATAGTGATTTTGTTCTCTTTTCCCGTGCTCTTGTCGGCAGCGGATACGTTAAGAATTCCATTGGCATCAATGTCGAAGGTCACCTCTATTTGAGGTACACCACGTGGTGCTGGTGGGATCCCAGTAAGGTCAAACTTGCCAAGCAAATTGTTATCTTTGGTCATAGCCCTCTCTCCTTCAAACACCTGGATCAGGACTCCCGGCTGGTTATCGGAATATGTGGAGAAGATCTGCGTCTGCTTGGTGGGGATGGTGGTGTTACGTTTGATGAGTGCAGTCATGACTCCTCCAGCCGTCTCGATTCCCAGGGACAACGGAGCCACATCCAGAAGCAACAAGTCCTGGACATTTTCCGAGGTATCACCCATCAGGATGGCAGCCTGCACCGCCGCTCCATACGCCACTGCCTCATCTGGGTTGATGCTTTTGTTGAGATCCCTTCCATTGAAGAAGTCCTGCAGGAGCTTCTGTATCTTGGGGATCCTGGTGGAGCCGCCAACCAGAACAATATCTTGGATCTGAGACTTGTCCATTTTGGCATCTCTCAAAGCCTTTTCCACTGGATCCAGCGTGCCTCTAAAGAGCTCCGCGTTAAGCTCTTCAAAGCGAGCCCTAGTGATGGAAGTGTAGAAATCGATGCCTTCAAAGAGGGAATCGATCTCGATGCTAGCCTGAGAGCTAGATGAGAGGGTCCTTTTAGCTCTCTCGCAGGCCGTGCGCAGCCGTCTTACTGCTCTCTTATTCTGACTGATGTCCTTCTTGTGCTTCCTCTTAAACTCTTCAACAAAGTGCTTCACCATGCGATTGTCGAAGTCCTCTCCACCCAGATGAGTGTCCCCTGCTGTGGCTTTCACTTCAAAGATCCCATCCTCAATCGTCAGGATGGAGACATCAAAGGTGCCTCCGCCGAGGTCGAAGATCAGGACATTCCTCTCTCCCTTCCTGCCCTTGTCCAGGCCGTAGGCGATGGCAGCTGCTGTGGGCTCATTGATAATTCGCAGCACGTTCAATCCGGCAATGACCCCTGCGTCTTTGGTCGCTTGCCTCTGTGAATCGTTGAAGTACGCTGGGACTGTGATGACAGCATTATTGACTCTATGACCCAGGTAGGCTTCGGCAATCTCTCTCATTTTGACCAGGACCATAGATGAGATCTCCTCAGGGTAGAATGTCTTGTTTTCCCCTTTGTACTCGACTTGAACTTTTGGTTTGCCATCTTCACTGATGACCTTAAATGGCCAAAGCTTCATGTCAGACTGGACAACCTGATCATCAAACTTTCTGCCAATCAGTCGTTTGGCGTCAAAGATGGTGTTGTTGGGGTTCATGGCGACTTGGTTTTTGGCAGCATCTCCGATGAGTCTTTCTGTGTCTGTAAAAGCCACATAGCTTGGAGTGGTTCGGTTTCCTTGATCGTTAGCGATGATCTCCACTTTGCCATGCTGGAACACTCCAACACAGGAGTAAGTGGTTCCCAGATCAATGCCAATAGACAAACCTTTAGCCATCTTTGATTGTTAAAATCACCTGCAATATTAAAAAAAAAAAAAAAAACATTATTTTTATTTAATAATGTAAAAGCTATTTATGGGATTATTTAAAATAATTAATCAATTTTTACAAAATTATAGTAATAAAAAAGCAAAACAAAAAATTAAATGTTTTTAAAAAAATGTATATATATAAAATATATATTATATTATATTTTCCAAGAGATGGGTTGCAGCTAGAAGGGCATCCGCTGCGTAAAAGATATGCTGGATAACTTGGCGGTTCATTCCGCTGTAGTGACCCCAGATTAATAAAGGGACTAAGCCGAAAAGAAAATTAATGAATAAATTTAAATATAAAAAATATGTAAATATTACTGATTTATCTGTAAAAATTAGACATAAGACAATGACAACATCTGTTTAATTAAAAAACAATCTTATATAAACGATGACAATTATATTAAATATGTATAATTTATAACATTATATTATAATAACATCTAAAAAAATATTACGTTGACATCAATGAAATGTCGCTGACTTGCATGTCTAAATTAATACACTCTACTTCTACTTTAAAAAAAAATTAATTATAAATATATTTTATAAGAATTCCTAAAAAGTGTGAGTATATAATATTATTTTAAACTATAGAATACTATAGCAACAACAACAAAACAAATTTTCAAATGTTAAGTCTCACTTACAGGTCTTGTGAGTTTCTTCAGTCGCTTTAGAGAGCGGATTTCAGCTCTGTTTCGGGTTGCTCGAGTCGTGTTTTCTCGTCTGCTCGGCCCGAGCGTTTCTGCGCACTTTATAGCAGTCATCCTCCTTCTAGAAAGCCCAGATTTCTCTTGACTCTGGCCGTAACTTTAGAGTCTGACAAGCCCTGAAGCTTCTAGACGCGGAATGGGGGTCTCCTGCGTGCTTCAAAGACACGTCAGAGCTCCAAACATAGAAACGGAACAAGCTGGAATTCTATTTCTTTTCTGTGCAACAAGTGTTGGGTACTACTAGATTTGTCGCTGATTTTTCCGTCACATATTTCTAACTCATTATTATATTACAAATGACGTTATTTTTATTTCATTATTACTTTATTAAGGGCATATTATTTATGTAAGACGTGCCATTAAAACGCCGAGCTGTTTTGTCACATGCTATTTGTTACTTTTCTCAGCGATTACCAGGATGGGCCAATCGAAGTATCTGAGGTGAGAAAAGATGCGCCGTTAATAAGAACAAATATCTGACACGGTTATTATATATTTCGGGTTTTCTAGGATCGATTATAAGGATAAAATCGCTTAAGTCTGCCATAATGTGTCAGAGTTTTGCAGATTTTTGTACGCTAAAACGATACTGAGTCTGAGGAAGATGTTTTTACAAGCATGATTTACTACCAATAGTATTTTTGTCGGATTTTGTAAGTGTATAATGCCTTTAATTTTTGACTAGTAACGTAAATCAAGGCTTTTTATGACCATTTAGAAACACTAATTTATGTTTAAATTATAGTCTACGAATCATATTTCGACTAAATTTAACCAGGACTATGGATTGCCTTTTTGTCTATGAAAGTTACAAAGGTGTAATGTATTCATATTTTTGACCCAGGTAACGCATTTTTTGTTTAAAAAAGAAGAAAGACATTACTGCATCAAAAATAAAATACACTTCTAATAATACTGAAATAATATTAAATATGGAAAAATTATTTTCACAGCCCCTTTAAACAGAGTCAAAAACTGTGTGTAAAGACCACATAAAATGCCCATTCAAAAGCACATCTGTGAAGTTATTGCAATGTAAATTTGTCATATATCAAAAACAGTAAACACAGAAATGCTTCTAACATTAATATCATAAATAAAAACAAAAACATATTTAGTGAGAGCAAGATCTTTAATGCAGGGATTGGATGACGTCAAGGCAGAGGAAGCACATTTGACAAATGATGCAGTGAAAGGTAAATCACAAAGTGCAGATGAGGCAAATATATTTAGATGGCAGATTCACAGTGATATTTACTTAAGACATATGCAGTCCCTTACAGATGGCCATCCAGATATGTGGGCTTACTGTGAGTCTAGCCAAGGTACGTTGAGGGCAATAGGTTCAGCAAACCATAAACGCCTCAAAATCTTATTTCAGCTGCAGTTTAGAGCTGCACGACTCTAGATAAACTGAAAATCACATTTTGGTTTTATTTGTTTAAATACAAAAATCAGGATTGGATTCTGAATAGACAAGTTAAAGAAATTACAAATAAAGTTAATAATTAGAGGTGCTGACAAAATCGGTTGCTTTCTACCTTTTTTAATTAATATTATTATTATTAAATATTTTTTTCAGTCTCAGTTTGAACGAATGACTCAATAACTTACTCATAAAGACCTTTTTAAAGTTTATCTTGAATAAATTATTCTGCGACATGAATTTGAATAGCTGCAGCCTTTAAGTTACTTTTAAAAGGTGATTTTGATCGATACAGTAAGTCCCAAATGTCCTCCCAGTACTTCTATGACAGTTTAATGTTTGTAACACCGAAAAAATAACACTGGATTAAAAGACTGAAGCAGTTTCATAACTTTAACACAACAACTGCTCTGTCTGAATCCGATTTAAACGTTCACTGTGATGGTTAAAGCTTTAATAAACATACATATCGCAAATCGTTTAAAAGAAAGATTGCGAGTTTTAACGATTAATCATGCAGCTCTACATATATTCTCATCTACGTTCGGCCTACATGACATATAATGGTCAACAACGTTATCTTAATATAGGGTTTCATGAAAGGCCACAGAGATGATGGAAGTGTGCCAGAATGTGAACGGGAAAAATCCCAGTTGGTGACGTTATTCATAAAATCCCCCCAAGCGGGGTATATATGTAGCAGCAGGTGCTGCCGGGTCACAGAAGTTTCTGCACACAGTGGTGTGTATCATATTGCCAGAACATTCTAGCATTTAGCCGTAATACACAGTACATTCATTTAATAATTTAAAAAAAAGCTATTATACTTTCTTATGTAAGAGGAATATTATGTGAAGACTAACAGGTTCATATTAAAAAAGCCACAGAGACATCCTTTTTTTTGGTCATGAAATCTTAAGTGTAGTGTAACTTCACGTCAATGGAATCAATGTGTAAAAAATAAAGCATGGTAATGATTATCAGTCGTCCTATGAGATCAGTAACTCTAACCAATATTTGGCACTTTTTTAGAGCCATAGACAGTGGTCCGCTTCCTTTCTTAGGTTAAAAGATAATTTTACAACATATGCTATAATACATCACTTCTAACAACGCACTAAAAGTGACATGAATGTATATATTTTGTCACAGGACATTAGTAACACTATTAAATAAGAATAACATTCGGTAAAATCAAGTTTTGCTTTAAGAAATGTATATTAATATAAAATAAATCTCTTGCTTCACTGGTTATTACAGATCTCTCCATCTTTGATGAAGGCTGAATCCATCCAGTCAGACTAATATCTGTAAGCAGAACAACAGGAAATGTTATTTTCGTTCAGTTTGGTATGTTGTTGTTGTTGTTGATTACTTGGGGTCAGTAGGATTAGGAAATGATAGGTTTTATTCAGAGATGTATTAAATTGATCCATGGTTACAATAAAGACATGGATAATGCTACAAATACTCTGATATCAAATAAATGCTGTTGTTGTTTTTTTATTTATTCATTAATATTGAAGAAAAATATCAGTTTCTACACAAAAAAGCAGCAGTCATTACTCAACATTAATAATAAGAAATAATAATGATTTCTAAAGGATCACATGGCACTGAAGCCTGAAGTAAAATATTACATTTTGAAATATTTTAATAGAGAAAACAGTGATTAAATTATAATATTTAAAGTGTTTTCCTGTATTTTATATCAAATCAAATTTTGTGCACACACACAAAATGTAAAATGCTAACATAAAAATCTTACCAACCCCAAGCTTTTAAACAAAAGTAAATGTTATGCTGAAAAGCTCTAATTATAAATAGTCGATTTATTGAAAACCAGCAGAGGGCAGTAAGTGATAATAAACAGTTACAAATCTCTATTAAAACAGTTTATGTCTCTAAAAAACATTGTGCATTCCTTAAGTGCACTTCCCACAGGTGAGTGGGCTTGACAAACCACCTGTAGGAACACTCCTCTCTCCGTATGCACCAGACTTAAACTTCATCTTACAAGAACACAGTAAGGAAAAGAATGTTTACTTGTGAATGTACCACCAACTTGTTTTCTTCAACCTTAAAAAGCCCCTTTGCACAATATCGTACAGAATATTGTTATGTTAAAGTGCTTGTATAGTCTTTCTTATATATATATATATATATATATATTATAATTCCAACAATTGAAAAAAAGTGTCAATTTTTGCAATATTTTGAACCATCTTTATAATATTTTACATATTTTAGACATAGTTGAAGGTAAAATTATTAACCCTCTTCTGAAATATAAAAAAAAAATTGAATTGTTTTACAGAGCAAGGAAATTTTTCACAGTATTTCCTGTCTTTTTTTTCTGGAGAAAGTCTTATTTCTTATTTAATTTTAGTTTGGCTAGAATAAAAGCACTTTTTAATTTTGTTAAAAACAATTCTTAAGGTCAATATTATTAGCTAATTTAAGAAATATTTTTTTCAACTAGGTAAAGAACAAACCACTGTTCTTTAATGACTTGCCTAATTACCCTAATTAACCCAGTTAAGCCTTTAAATGGCACTTTAGGCTGAATACTAATAAAAATAAATAGTAAAATAATGTCACATCGTCATGGCAAAGACAAAAGAAATTAGTTATTAAAACAATTATGTATGTAAAATAGAAGTTGGTTGTTTATCCCACATATTAACACATATTGACCAATAAACTCTTTAATTTCTGGAAATATTCATTCATTCATTTTCTTGTCGGCTTAGTCCCTTTATTAATCTGGGGTCGCCGCAGCGGAATGAACCGCCAACTTATCCAGCAAGTTTTTACGCAGCGGATGCCCTTCCAGCCGCAACCCATGTTGGGGAAACATCCACACACACACTCATACACATACGCTACGGACAATTTAGCTTACCCAATTCACCTGTACCACATGTCTTTGGACTGTGAGGGAAACCGGAGCACCCGGAGAAGGCAGGGAGAACATGCAAACTCCACACAGAAATGCCAACTTAGCCGAGGTTCAAACCAGCGACCTTCTTACAGTGAGGTGACAGCACTACCTACTGCGCCACTGCCTCGCCTTCTGGAAATATATTTTAGATTTTTTTTTTTCCCAAAGTTTTTCAAAAGAAGGTTAAGCCAGACCATTGTCTTGCAATTCTTGGATATTCTGAGACAATAGACACTTTTCCAAAGTCCTAGCAACATCTCCTTTTGATAGGCCTAACTCTTGTGAAAAAACTTTTAAACTGAAAAACTTCTAACCCTACATGTTTTAAAAAGAGTGGATGGTTGAATTGTATCAAGTCATTTGGCTTGAGAGGATACACTCCTCGGAACCAAAATCTCAACACCAATTTCAAACTGTATGGCAACCTTTTGTGAATTTCCTCAGAACTGATTAGTGCTATGCCAATGATTTTTTGAAACAACTGATCGTACTCTGATAATTATATTTGAACATTATGATTGCTTTAATTAACAAATACTCCCATTTGTTTGTTGTTTATTCACTTTAATTCATTTATTTTTGTTTTCTGATTTAATGCTGGAGCTACTATGTTTATGCCAGTGTATTTCCTTTGTACTGTTTTTGTATTAAACAAAAAGAAAAAAAGCTTAAACTGTAGTAAAACTACAGTTGAAGTCAGAATTATTAGCCCCTTTTTTATTTTTTTTTATTTTTTTAAATATTTCCCAAATAATGTTTAACAGAGCAAGGACATTTTTACAGTATGTCTGATAATTTTTTTAGTTTTTTTTTTTCGATTTGTTTTATTGAGGCTAGAATAAAAGCAGTTTTTACTTAAAAAAAATGTAGGTTTAAAATTATTAGCCCCTTCAGCTACATTTTTTGATAGACTACAGAACAAGCTATTATTATACAACAACTTGCGTAATTACCCTAACAAGCCCAGTTAACCTTCTCCGTTAAACAGAAATATGGGGGGGGGGGTTGTACCTGTAGTAATTCGGTTTAAAGGGTCCATTCTTATTGAGGCCCATATATTTGGCCTGTTCATCAGACAGCTCTGTAAGATGAGCATCAAAGTTGGGTAGGTGCAAGCTGGCCACATATTCATCTGAAGAACACACAATTTATCACAGTTAATGCACAAAGTACTGAAGCTGTTGGTGGAGACAAATTCAGATAATCTTACCCATTTTCTTGGGCAGCAAGTAGACGTCCTGTTTATAGCGACCTTCTGGTGCATTATACAGCTCTATCAGGGCCAAAGCCTAAGATTAATACAAAAAAAGAGCACAACAGCCTGCGATTAGAGATGTTAAATCAGCCGTAATAGTCATACAGCTGTGCAGGAGCACTTAGGAGCTCTGGCATAAATGGATAAAATGTCAGCGGTACAGACGCAGCTAAAACCCAAAGCGGCGGCAGGTTAAATTACCTGGGTTGTGGCTGTGATTGATAGCACAAATGAGGGGACTGTTGAGCAGCTCAGGTTCAGGAGTCGGCCCTGAAAAACACAACACAAATGACTGAGATTGACTGTGATCCAGCAGAAAATCACATATAGAGGAAAGAAATTTATCATGGTGGGCACATTCACAGATTGAGTAGAGAAAACTGGGGCTTTGGGAAAATTCTGTGGACCAAAATATATGTCATGGTATATGGCATAGTACATATCATACGTTGTGACAAGCATTTTTCATAGAAAATATGAAATTAGTGAAAAAATAAATAAATAAATTAAAAAAAAGATTTGATGGCAAATACCTGTGTGGAAAGTCAGATTTTTAATAATCCAGAAATTGTGAAAATGATAGACTAAAATGACAGACTAATAATGTTTTTGAATAATGTTGTATGTATATATATATATATATATATATATATATATATATATATATATATATATATATATATATATATATATATATATATATATATACTGTATATATATATATATATATATATATATATATATATATATATATGTGTGTGTGTGTGTGTATATAAATCATGTTTTTGCAATTGTAGTCTTTAATGAACAGCAAAAACATGATATCTGAAGATGACTAAAAACAGCAGTTTGTACAAATAAATATTTATCAGAAAAAAATGTTTAAAGCCAAAACTTAAGTTGAAAAAGCATCAAGAAAAATATTATTATCTCAAATTATTTATAAAATTAATTAAAAATAAAATTTCAAATACTTTTTAAAAATAAAATATATTTCTGTGGTGACAAGACAGGGTTTTCAGAATTTAGAAATTTCAGAACTTCAGTCATGAATCAAATAGTCACCCGTTTGAGTTTCTTCTATTGAACAAAAAAGAAGACATCTTGAAAAATGCTGAGGACGAGAAGCCATTGACATGCGTAGTATATTTTTTCCTGGTATGTTTGTCAATGGTTGTTACAGATTTTCCACGTTCATAAAAATATATTCATAAAAGATATTCCTAAAGGGTTAGAACACCCGAGAGTAACTAAATCAGGGGTATCCAAACTCGGTAATGGAGGGCTGGTGTCCTGCAGATTTTAGTTCAAACTTGCCTCAACACAGCTGCATGAAAGTTTCTAGAAAGCCTAGTTAGAGCTTGATTAGCTAGCCCAGGTGAATTGGAGTTGGAACTAAACTTTGCAGGACACCGGCCCTTCAGGACTGAGTTTGGACAACCCTAGCACTAAATGGTCAGAAAAAATTGTTTTGTGGGAAGTAAATGTTTCTAAACTTCTGACTGCTACTGTATGCAACTGTGGAAATAGCTATTTATATAATCTAGTTTCAAATTAACAGTGATGTATAAATAACTGAAAAGTTAAATTCTTTGGTTTTTTTATTATCTAATTTCATTCAAAACTCTAGCAGACATGGTGTAAGTGCCATTAAACCCTTTGCTTCCAGAGCACTGGCTGACCAAAGTGCTGCAAAAGCTATGGGCTGGGTCTCAATGACTATGACTTTTGTCTTTGTGGATCCATTCAGGTGAAAGAAGCTCTTTCGTTGATAAACTTGTGTGGTCAGTGTCTCGGCAGGTTCTTTCACCTACAGTTGCAGTCAGAATTATTAAACTCCCTGAATTATTTCCCCCCATTTTTCCCCCAATTTCAGTTTAACAGAGAGAAGATTTTTTCAACACATTTTTAACCATAATAGTTTTAATAACTCATTTCTAATAACTGATTTCTTTTATCTTTGTCATGATGTAAGTAAATAAGATTTGACTAGATATTTTTCAAGACACTTCTATACAGCTTAAAGTGACATTTAAAGGCTTAACTAGGTTAACTAGGCAGGTTAGGGTAATTTTAAAAAATATATTTTAAAAAAAAATAAAAACTGCTTTTATTCTAGCTGAAATAAAACAAATAAGACTTTTTCCAGAAGAAAAAATATTATCAGACAAATTGTGAAAATTTTCTGAATCTTTTAAACATTATTTGGGAAATATTTAAAAAAGAAAATAAAATGTTACAGTTTATTAATTCTGATTGAAACGGTATCTACTTCATTTGCATGCTGTGTTAGCCATCTCCACCTTTAGCTACTGCCCCATCCTCTAAACAATATAACAGACAGAACAACTCTGTCCATGTCAGACTCATCTAGACTTGTTTCAGACTTTTGTTAGGCTCATTTATTTCTTGAAGATGGTGTTTGACTGCAGAACAACCAACACGTCTCAATAGATAATTCTGCTTGTAATGAGTATCCTGGATTGAGTTCTCATTTTTCCAACACAACATAAAACAACCTTTCCGACTGGCACTTATTTATGAAAAAAGACAACAAGTACAGACCTCTGCCAGTAAAATGACTCGTTTCCCATCAGGCCAGATGACGTGATCAACCTGTGAGCGGACTCTCTCCCAGGTGAGCTCTGGAGTCCGCAGACTTGCCTGAAACATACATAAATACACACACTTAAAACTCGCACCACTATACCCAACACACACACACTCATTCAGTTCACTCTGTTGTGGCAAACATGCAGCTAAGAGGATTTTGGGTTGATTAAGTGACCCTGCTGCTCAGAGAGGACCTACAGCTGTTGACGGCAACATTCACATTGGTATAGTATTTGCCCGCTACAGCCACAGCAAATGGAGCCTCATTATGAATAAACCAAACTATGTTTTTACAGAGCTGAGAAATGCTCACCACATCGATCTCAGTGTTGGAATGGCCCATGTTACACACGATACAGCCATTCTTCATTCTGTCCAAGTGCTCCCTCGTCACCACATTTTTGTTCCCTGTAGAAACAAACAATTCTTCATATAACCTTGATATACATTATCTGTGAGTAATAATACTGATTTTATCTTAGTGGATCCCCTAAATTGTCATTCTGTGGATGTATGGAACACATCTCACCCGCGAAACTGTGAACGTTTATATTTGAAAGTTATCTTGTCAATTGACAGACAGCATCTGTATTCTAGGTGTACTATGGTAAGGCAAGACCTACACTGTAAAAAAAATTGCTGTAAAATTTACAAGTACTGGCAATTTTGAATGCAAGTAATACTGTGAAATGTACAAGTGCACTGTAAATAAACTATTACAATTGTGATGTAAAACTACAGCCCGGTTCTGATTGATTATTTACAGTGCGCTTGTGATTTATGCCAGTAATACTGTAAAAATTGCCAGTGAAACTAATATTTTCAAGCACACTGTAAATTAATCATTAAAATTGTGCTGTAAAGCTGCAGCACAATTGTTTTGGTAATTTACAGTATACTTGTAAATTGTACAGGCATATCACTCTGCAGCCCAAGACTGGTTACTCACTGAAGCTATGCAGGGCTGAGCTTGGTCAGTACCTGGATGGGAGACCACATGGAAAAGCTAAGTTGTTGTTGGAAGTTGTGTTAGTGAGGCCAGCAGGGGGCGCTCAACCTGCGGTCTGTATGTGTCCTAATGCCCCAGGAAAGTAAAGGGGGCAATTTACTGTCAGTGGGTGCCGTCTTTCGGATGAGATGTTAACCAAGGCTCTGTGATCATTAAAAATCCCATGGCATTTTTCGTAAAGAGTGTAACCCTGGTGTCCTGGCCAAGTTCCTTGCATTGGCTCTTACTGGCCTCCCAATCATCCCCATCCACCAAATTGGCTCTATCACTGTCTCTCCATTCCACCTATGGCTGGTAAGTGGGGATTGCACTAGCGTCAATGTCCTGTGGCTGCCGTCGCATCATCCAAGTGGAGGCTGCACACTAGTAGTGTGGTAGAGACCCTCCACCCATGATTGTATTGCGCTTTGGGTGTATGGCCATACACAATAAATGCACTATATAAATACACATTACTTATTTAGTTACTTTTACAATATTACTGGCAACCAAATTGCCAGTGTTATTGCAAATTTTGCATCATTTTTTTACAGTGTTTAGAATGTCCAGTACTTGTCTTGTTTTTGTTTTACACACACACACACACACACACACACACGCACATTTACAAAGTTAAAACAGGCTCGGTTCTTTATGTTTATATATATATATAATATGAACATATTCATAGTAGAAAATATTTGTCAAATTTAGAAACAAATCATCAAAAATGTTGACAGTGGATGGCAACTTTAAAAAAAAAAAAACACTGGTGTGAAAAGAGTTTCAGCAGGTTGTAAGGCTTTTAAAGACATTTTAAAGACCATTATGATTGAGTTTTTTCACTTTTACAGGGCTAAATGCTAAGGAATTTTTTTTTCGAATAAGCCAGTTGGAAAAGATTTTCACTTGCCCTATCAAAAAAATTATTTTAATTTTATACATTAAATCATACATTAATAATAAAAATTACAATTTAAAAATAAAAATAAAGGCCAGGTCAGTATCCTCAGCTGTAAATATAGGGATAACTTTTAAGCAAATTTTATGGTGAGGAAAATAATTAAAAAATAAAAGTAACAAATAAAATGATAAATAAAAAAAAGTTTTATTGAGATTGATTGTTGGTGAACAAACATAAATGAACAAAAGAAAATTAAGACCTGTTAAGACCTACAACACAACATTTCAGTAGATTTAAGACTTTTTAAGGCCTAAAATTTAGTTGCTAAGATTTAGGACATTTTAAGACCCCACAGACACCCTGAGAAGAGTTCAAATGTTACCAAAGTCCACTTATTATGAGCAATGATTATTTGATGTTTTTTTTTTTACTTTATTTATTATTTATTTGTTTAAATGTATGATAATTATGATAATATTTTGACTTGTGGCTTATTATATAATGATTAACTTATAGAATTTAAAATATTTTTTAAGATATTCAAAATATCCTTGTATCCTTCTTTTTTATTATAAATTATTATTTATATATATATATATATATATATATTTTTTTTTTTTTTTCAGTTTTTGTTTGTGTACTTGATGTTAAGTGTTGGTGTTTATTGTGTTAAAGGTGTCAATCTTGTTATGTGAGGCACCACTATGTCCGAATAAATTGCCCCAAAGGAATTAATAAAGCTTTAAATTATATATTAATCCATTAATTAATACAAATATAACTATTAATTTTCCCAGTGATGGGTTGCGGCTGGAAGGGCATCCGCTGCGTAAAAATGTGCTGAATAAGTTGGCGGTTCATTCCGCTGTGGTGGCCCCAGATAAATAAAGGGACTAAGCCGAAAAGAAAATTAATGAATGAATAAATAACTGTACATTTTTTGTTTATGTTAAAAATAAATGAACATAGCATTTTTTATTTGAATAATGTATTGTTAAATGCTGACAGTGACAATAACAATTAATAAATGGTTTATTATAGTATAATATAATAAAAAATAGAGAAGAAGTCCTGTTTGTCAATCATGTTAACTCACTTAATGTTACCAAAATGCTGTTTTACCCTTCAACCAATTAAAGAAGCAGGAGTTCAGTTCTCTCTTTATGACTAGCAGAGACTCACAACTTGGCAAACATGATTTTTCCCCAGACCACTTAAGAGATCAGTCGTAGCTGTCAAAGGCCCAACCGTTTGACAGCAGCTCAGGGAGGAATCGTTTGTGCTGATAAGAGCTGCATTTAATAGAGGAAATGGATGTGAAAGTGGAAGCTAGCCAACAGCAAGCAGACGTACCCGTGCAGGTGATGACCATGTCCATTTGACGAACCACTTCATTCAGCTTCACCACTCTAAAGCCGTCCATACTATAAAGGAAATAAAAAAACAAATAAAAATTAGCAGATGTGTTTAGATATTGCTGTGCAAAGAAGATTTTGAGTTCCTATTTGGTTTGCTGATATGCTGATATTATTTGTGGTAGATACTAAGAGAGACCAGTTTACACAAGTTATTTGATACAAAATTGTTATGTGTTACAGGGTAAACTGAATAAAGTATATTAACTAATAATTATCACCTTTATCACTGAATCACTGACTCAAATTATTCATTCCTAATTTCATTTAGGAACAAACCCTTGCAATGTTGCTGTGAGACACAAATGTTCGCTTCAGATTTGTTTGAGACTGTGTCTGAAATGTAACTCATGCAGTATTACTGTCTTGTTTGTTAAACTGTTGTATAAAACAAGAACATATTTGCAACTAACTAATAACTAGTAACTAATAACCTTAACTTTACCGAATTAGATTGTAATGGAATAATGTGCACCTTTTGTAAAGCTGCTTTGAAACAATAATTATTCTGAAAAGCACCATACAAATAAACTAGAATTGAATTGAATTGACTTGGAGTTGTTTCGAATACAAAGAGAAAATAATAGGCTATAGATTATTAGATTAGATTAACTGTTTAAACAAAGTATTTAAAATGTGTACACATAATTATGATTGCATTAATTAGTAATAAAGGCAAATGACACTATTGAGCTTGCCATCTGCATTTTTTAATTATTTAAAATTGTGTACCTTTTGTATTTAATTATTAATTAAAATAAATTATATTGGCTAAATATCAGCCACCCTGCTTTCCAATATTGACCTTCAGAAAAAAAAATATCGCATGACTACTAATTTCAATAACACCGCACTTGTGTTTAAATGTAGATTTCACTCATTCTTGAGGGTCTATTGGTCTTACCAGGCTTGAAGAGCACAGATCGGATCGATCTCCGTCACACACACTATTGCTCCAAGTGCTTTCAGAGCTGAACAACAACCTTTCCCCACCTATACCACGGTCAACACAGAAACACAGCCAAACACAGAAACGTCATTCCATTCTCTGTGCTTTTAGAAAATAATGTCTGTCTGTTTTGAGAAATTACAGCTACAGTACAGACACTACAGGTTTTTTTTTTGTCTAATTTAAAGAAAACACTCAAAATATGTGATTAAAATTTTTTTTATCACACTTAAAAATGTGTCTGTGGATGTCAATTACAATATATTTCCGTAAAGACTTTTTCTCAGAATTATTTTATTCTCCTCCACTGAGCCATCAATCTCAACTTCAGCGCAATTTGCAGTACACACAACAAACTTCACAATTGTAATCATCTGTATCCAGTACTCCAAATGTTTTTACAGATGGATATGTTTATACATAAACTACCTGATTATTAGAACATTTTATTCTACAAGATAAAAATCCATTAGTTACTGACAGTTGTACCATTAACTAGCATGGACTAAAATATTTTTTGCATTTTTTAAAATCTGATTGTTATAACCTTTCATTCGACAAAGACATGAGTGAAAGGATTGATAGAGAAAGATTACTAAAATCCTATAACCTTAGACTCTCATTTGTCAAAAACATTAAACCTGAGTTTTGAACTGGACATCATTTAATGTTAAAAATTTAAGCTAGAAATGTATGCATATATGGACACATTTATTTAAATAAACCATTGTTATATAACAAGTGCACATTTAAGCACTTAAACTTAATAAAACTTGTTATAAAAATGTAATGAATCAGCTGGGGAAGTACAGAAGTTGACACAATCACCAGCGATCCAACCTGTGCAGATCGCTAACAGACTACAAATCAGCCAGAATTAGGAACTGGGGTGTGTGTGCAGTGCATGACAGGATCTTGTAGTCCATATAATGACGAATATGTAGTTCTATGTGATCTGTATGTTTACCAGGGATCTTCCAGGATTAGATCGCTGGTGATTGCAACAGAAATAAAATTGGTTAATTTATGGAATTTTTTTGATTTTGCCCATTTCACCTGCAGTGTCTTGCATTTTATTTGCATAATGTAGATTATCCGACCGCCCTATTTTATTTTTGCCAAATGTTTGTACTGACCTCTCCATAACCGCAAACCACCACCTGTTTCCCACCAAACATCACATCTGTGGTTCTCTTCAGACTGAGGAGAAAGAGGAAGACAGCTAAGATGATATTTTTTCTTACACAAGTTTTAGTCAAACTTGGTTAGAGGTTTAGAGGAAGATGTGTTGAAAGAAAAGTCAGAAAAGCATATATCAGCATTGCAGATGTCTTTACCCGTCGAGGATGGACTCCCTGCAGCAGTACAGATTATCAAACTTCTGCTTGGTGACAGAATCATTGACATTCATGGCAGGGACGCAAAGCTTGCCAGCTTTGGAGAGTTGATACAGCCTGACAGAATCAATAAAAAGAGACAAATAAATAAATAAAACATGAATGTTTGTAAAAGTCAGTTGGCATTTCTGTTTGGAGTTTGCATGTTCTCCCTGTGTTCGTGTGGGTTTCCTCCGGGTGCTCCGGTTTCCCTTACAAGTCCAAAAACCATGTTCTGTGGGTGAATTTGGTAAACTAAAATTGGCCGCAGTGTGTGTGAGTGAATGAGAGTGTATGGGTGTTTTCGAGTGATGGGTTGCAGCTGAAAGGGCATCCACAGCGAAAACATATCCTGGATAAGATGACCCCAGATTATTAAAAGGACTGAGCCGAAAAGAAAATTACTGAATAAATGAATGAATGAATGAATGAATGAATGAATGAATGAATGAATGAATGAATGAACGAACGAATGGATGAATGGATGAATGGATGATTGAATGAATTATTAATATGCCAGAATAGTTGGTGGTTTATTCTACTGTGGCAACTCCTGAAAAATAACTGACTAAACCTTAAAGGAAATGAAGGAAAATGAAAGAATGAATGAAAATTAAAATTAAAATTTTAATTAAATTTAATTATAATTAAATTAAAATAAATAAATGAAATTATTGTTTAAAAACAAAATAAAATGTGTAAAACATATGCTGAAATAGTGTGGGGGTTAATTCTGCTGTGGCAATTCCTAATAAATAAGGGACTAAGTCTAGAATGAAATAAAATAAAATTAAATAAAAAATAAATTAAATATATCTAATTGAATATTTATATATTTCGCATATTCCTTTATCCAAAGTGACTTTAAATAAAATTTCGATATAGGTTTTTTTTGGTTAATTTTATGTATTTTCTTGAATTGTTTATGCATTTGATAAAAGCTTTTGCCCAAAATGACTTAAAATGCATTCAAGAAATAGCATTTGCTCCTGTTTATGCATTTTCTTTATGCATTTACTATGACTTTAGTACAGCCCTCCCGTACCTGTGTACACCAGTAACACTCTCCTCCACGATTCCACGAACTTTTTTAAAGACACTGGGATATTTCTTATACACCCAGTGGGTCAAATCCCCTCCGTCATCTAGAATCTGTAAAAGAAAGTATCTTTATTACTCATCTGCAAACACAAACACCATGCTAAAAGTTTTGAACAGTAAATACTGATTTGACAGCGGTTTATAAACAGTAATAGAATCATTGTGTTAAATAGTGTAAATAGTGGTGGATATGATAACAAGCAGCATAAACAGCAACAACATTAGCATTTTGGCTACACATCATATTACAAATAGTGAAATGTTATTCGCAAAAAGGCTAAATGATAAGTGAAGTTACTAAAATAACTGCCAACAACATTGATTGTTTGTGCTTTTCTGCCATCACTTCCTCACCCTCCACTTGTTCAAAATCTGTTTGAGTTTATTTCATCTGTTAAACACAAAAGAAGATACTTTGAAAAATGTTGGAAAGCATCAGCAATTGATTTTAATCATATTTTTTTTTTTTTCTACTGTAGATATCAATGGCTATAACATTCTTCAAAATATCTTCTTTAGCGGTCAACAACAACAAAACAACACACACAAAGAAGGTTTGGAACTAATTGAGGATAGCATCAGCCTTTTATTTTAACAGTATTGTCACAATCACCAGTGATCTAATCCTGGCAGATCACTGGTAAACACACAGAGCGCATATAACTACAAATCTGCCATTATATGGACTACAAGGCCCAGTCATGCTCTACACACACACACACGCACCGGTTCCAAATTCTAGCTGATTGCTAACACACACAACCGAAGGTGTTCAGAACTGATGACATGGACTTTAAAAGCAGCACAGACACACACATTAGTTGCTGAGTCTTGTTAATCAGTATTGTGAACATTACGACGCCTTGCCTTGATCCTCGTTTTTTTGTTTATGTTGTCTGCTGCCTGCCTGTACTGACCATCTGCCTGTTTATCGACCACGACCATTGCTTGCCTGACTATTCTTAATAAACCTGCGTTTGGATCCACACTCTTTTGTCAGCATTCTACTTCTTATTACAAGTGTTTACTATTTTTTTCAACTATAGGGATATCAAAGGCAAGGACATTCTTCAAATATCAGAAATAAAACAAACACAAGAAGGTTTGGAACCACTTGAGGATCAGTAAATGGTGGGTGAATTTGAATTTAGGCTGAACTATCCTATAAAGGGCAGAACTTTATACCATGTTTGCCTGCCAGCCATCCATGTTGACACAGCGGTCGATGCACCACCAGAAGTCGTCTTCCGATTCTCCCTTCCAGGCAAAAACTGACACACCTTCACAGGAAAGACAGCAAAAAAAAAGTGAGTCCATAATCTCCAGACTGGAACTGTTAGTTCAGACAGCAGTATTATTTGTTTAGAGGGAGTTTACCACTCTCCGCCAAAGCTGCTGCCACTTCATTCTGGGTGGAGTAAATGTTACAGGCAGTCCAGCGACACTGAGCACCCAGGGCCACTAGAGTCTCGATCAGCACCTGAAAGAAACCAGCATAGCAAATCAAACACATTAAAACACTCACAAACAACAATGTGTGCAAATTTACATTGTAAGCACTTTGGTTTTGATTTGATTATACGATTGTATGTTTAATGAAACTGCAAGCAAATCATTTGCAAAGTGTGCATTAATTAGAATAATAAATAACATTTTTAACATTAAAGCTTTTTGAGTTTTTCTTTAAATAAATTTGCTAAGACCAAACTAATTACAAACCAGTCTGACTTAAAGTGCTCAGCATATATAAGTACACCCCTCACAAATCGCTCTTTTAAATTCATATTTTTAATTAGGAAGCTATACAATATTATATTTGTGCATATACATTAGATTAGTCAGTACCGAAGCCAAATCTGGAGCTTATCTAACAAAATAACTTACAATTACGGTCCAAAAACTAGCACAACCAAATTTATATGTTTGAGAAAAATACTAAATATTAAAATCAAGAAAAGCAAAAAAATTGAAAAATTTAGTTGAAATTTTGTAGGTTGTCATTTTTTTGTGCAATATTTAGCTTGAATTTAATTGCATTATCTTTCAATTTCTAAATGTTTGGATATGTTTACTAAAAGATTATTTTAATAAATATATCTGTTTAATAAATCTGTTTTGGTTAAATGCACCAAAAATACACTAAAAAATGGATGAAAATATTCATTTTCAAAATGGGGTATACTCATATGCTGAGCACTTTACTGTATGTGTGATTTTTTTTCCCTTTGCGACTTCATCTGCAATTTTTTTCGGCATTTTTAAAAATATGCTCCATGTTAAGTTTTAGTAATTTTATTAATAAATTCTACCCTGTTTTATTTTAGTTGTTTGTTGATTCTTTATTTTATTCATTTTACTTTTAGGTAATGTCAATCGAAAAACATTTGTTGTTTACTTATTTCATAAACATTTACTTTTAGTTTTACTTTTAGTGAATGGACACTATATAGTAGTCATCATTCGAAGTGAATCCAAAACATTTTTCAAAATTGTCCTAGGACATGAATGGGTGCTGGTGAGGATCCACTTCAAATTTTGACTACTGTAGTTTATAGTATTGGCCGACACAGATTTATCTTTCCCTAAACAAACTGTTAGTGTAGTTTTATTTAATAGAAATGAAACGAAAATTCGTTTACTAATCCATTGTTTAAATAAATAAAAAGTTATTTTATTTATAGTTTCCTCCTGCTTGTACTAAAAACATTAAAACAATCACTTGTGTACTGTGGTAAATGAATATATTTCACTCTGTTATTTTCTTGTTTACTAAATATGACTGTATATAATAGATAGAAAGCAAAATAAAGAAGCTGGTGAAAAGGATCAGGAAAGTTCCCAAAGCCTAGATTTAAACTCATGTCGCCAAAAATGTTCCACTCTGACCAAAAATGTAAATGTTTTGTCAAAATCTCTTTCCGGAAGAAGTGTGTGTTTGAATCGTGTGACCCTGAGCAGAACCTACAGCAGTCTGAGCAGTGATGTGTGTGCATCCGGCCACTTTGGCCCCGGCGAGGGGTTTCTCTCCCTGAGCTCTCTTCCGCAGGGAAATCAGCGCAGACATATCTGTGGACAACAGTTCTGAGGTCAGACCAGCTGGCCTGAGATCAGCTTTATTAACACAGCTACAATCTAGAGAATCAGAGGTCAAACCAAGCCCTGGAAAATGAGGACTAAAAATCTGAATATGCCTGGAATAAGGAATGGTTAAAACTGGTTAAAATGGTTATTATTCTGTTCAGCTCAGTTGAACTTTTCATTCCTCTGTGTAAATGTTACATTTTGACATTTTTTTCTGCATTTTTCTGATTCATTCTCTAAATTTAAAGTAGTAGTGTGAAGTAAGGACTAATTGATTGAATTATTAAGGCATCTTTACACAGCAAAGGTGGCACAGAAACCAAACCTGGAGCAACTGGGACCTTGATCACTGCTTTATGGGACCTTGATCACTGCTCTGTCGACTTTTGATGTTGAAAATTCAACTCTACAGTTTAACAAAGTGACTTTTATTAGCATTTTAGTAGTTTGAAATAAGAGATTATATATATAGAGAGAGAGAAATAGATCTGTAAAAAACAGGAAATGAACTGGCAGTTTATTTTACGGTTTTTGTACCTTAATATTCAACACCAACCCAGACAAAATATCACTTTCAACTATTAAAAATGTTGATGAAAGTCACCTTTTCAAACTTTTAAAGGTTAAAAGTTGTTGGAAGAAAGATCAAGACTCCATAATGCAATTCAAATACACAAAACTGCTAATTTACAGAGATATTTTTTACAGTGTTCTGAGAGTAATGTACAGTATTCTTCTGTAATAATTCCATGAACTCGTAGCAATTAATCTGCTTATACTACGGTTACCACACCTAAAGTCACAGTTCAGATGTTGTATTTCAAGAAATTTGTCAGGTTTTTGTCCTCAAACAGTTTGTGTGCGTAGGATTAGCTGCTTACTCATCTCATCCAAAGTCTACTGTTTTGTTTGATTTAATATTTGACAGTTGTAGGCTGAAATCATTCACTGTATGAAACAGTAATGCAGTGAAGACTGGCCTGGAACCACTCTAGCGTGTGCTTCTCTAAAAATATTGTGTAACAGAATATTTATCAGACAATCAGAAATAGAGAGAAATGAGTCATCATTTCCTTACCCTGGTGAAAATTATTCACCCATTTTTTTAGTCATCATTTACTCTGCTTCCACTTGTTCCAAACCGGAGTTCATGTTATTATACAAAATATTAAATATTTATTTCCCACAACAGATGTCAATCGGTTTCTACAACTCAGGTGTATACGTACCCAGTTCTACATTTCTGGAGACAGCAAAATACGTAACTGGAGGTACTTCTGCTCACAGTTTTTTATTTTAGCAAATTCACCAGAGGCTGCTGTGTATGTTTATTGATGATCACAAACTTCTCTAGCGCATCCTCTTTTCATGTAAATCCGCCAGAGTGTGCAATAAACACTTCAGCTGACCAGCTTGCTGTCCATGAATGAATCACCTGCCCCCTTCCCCAAACACAACTGATTGTGTTTTCAAAAGTATTCTAGAAAATGAAAAGCCGATGAGTGATTTCACCACGTTTTCATCCTCTTGTTTATTTATGTTTTTATTTATTTTTTGCTTTTGTTTTACTTGGTTTCTAAAACCGTTCTTCTATGGACTCGAACCCCATCTTCGTGATCACCTCTGCTCCACATCCCAAGTCTGCCAATGTATGTGGAGAGCCACTGGGAAAACATAGGAAACGCCGCCCGTCTGGATATAAGCGGTCAGCTAGTAGCGCTAAAATGAATAGGAGCCGTGGGCAGTGTCATACCACCCTGTAGCACTCATTTAAAAGACAAAAGGCAGCCAGACATACCTCTGGCTACATAATTTACACTCTCCAGTAATGTAGACAGGGGTACATATCGACAATGAGCCTGTGTTGCGTTTCTAACAGTCTCTAACAGTTTCTAACAGTAAAACAATTATATAGATTTGAAACCCCTAGAGGGCGATTAACAGATTAATCCCATCAATATCTATGGACTGCACTGCTGCCATTAGATGCTGACCCAGTTATTATAAAAAAAGACAAAGTCAACGGTGGACAATGGCTTTTCCCAACATCAGCAGATGTTATCAAACCTTGTTCACTTGACAGCACTTAAACACACCTATATTTGAGTTAACAGGTATAACAGATGTCCTGAATTAACGGTGCTTCACAGAACCACTGACATTCATTTATAAATTTGCCAAAGTTGAAAGCTGTTTTTGTGTAAATTGTCTTCTGACCTTGTTCTGCGATCTCGATCTCCCGCCGGCCAAACTCGGCCTGCTTGATGTTCTTGACACAGAAGTCGCTGCTGCCCTTTGAGTTGACCTGGCTCTTCTCACGAGGAGACGTCTCATCATCTGAGCTGTCAGTGTACGAGGCCGCTGTAAAAGCACAGAGGAGCATTTTAGTAGGATTATGGATGCATTCATTGATTTTTTGCAATGAAATGATAAAAGCACAACTTTCTTTTAAATTGCTTCAGTCGTGTAGTTTAAACAGATTGCTTTTTTGGAGGTGGACGGGGGGTCAATCTGCAGTCACAAACATGTAGGAATGTTTATCCTTCACTTTTGTTGGTATTATGAGCGATTTAGGAATGTGAATTTGTCTGATCCAGGGCCAATGCTAGCAAAAGTCTGTAGTTCTTGCTCTAAGCTGGCCTGGGATTATATTACACAACACACAATACTAGCATGGACAAGTAATGAGCAGGTTTAAGCAAGTTTGTAGAACACACTGACCCAAACTTTCTCCATCAATTGTTATTTTAGCTACAAATGATAGAGTATTTCTGCAATGGACATTAAATTTGAATTAACCCGGCAAACGTCTAATAGATATCTAAACGTAGCTTGGCTAAAACAAGACTAAACTTGGGCTGTCACTGAAAATCTAATAGACGTCTAAGAATGGACCAAAACTAGACTAGTCTTCAAATAGACAGATTAGGCAGACTGTATATGTGTAGTCATTCATTTGTGTCTATTTGATGACTAGTCTAGTTTTGGCCTATTCTTAGGCACTTATTAGATTTTCACTGACAGCCCAAATGTAGCCTAGTTTAAGCCAAGACGGCTGATTAGACGTCTATTAGACATCTTTTAAAAACAAAAATGCTTGCTAAGAAGATTGTAAATCAAAATAAATTGTCATAACCCATTTTTATTGTTTATGAACTACGATAAATATGCCACTAATACAGAAAATATGATAAAATGATTCTGTGGTGACTACAAAAAATCAATGTAATTTCTGCATTAAATAATTTAGTTCAGAAATTACAGATTGAACTTTTAGGTATATTACACCAAGGATAGTTTATGTTTACAATGAATCTTTGATGAAATATCAAAGGTATAAAGGGAAATAAAGCCACTTGGCACTGGGGTATTTAGCAATTACTTCCAGTTGAATTTACATTGTTGTATCATTGCTAGTGTTTTTTTAGGGTTTAGTAACTTGCTGTTTTATGTCATCTGGTGTAAAACACTGATTGTTGATACCTCCATTGTGTATTGTGTATTTAAGCCCATGCCGTCTGATACTGTCGGTAGGATAGGCTTTATTTTTTAATTTCCCCTAGTTGCAATCGTAGCACAAAAACAACATGTTTTACCTATAATGTAATGTTATGAAATGTGTAATTATATAACGCATTTATTGTATATTCTTCATACACCCAAAGCACTTCACAGTCATGAGGGGGGTCTCTCCACATCACCAGTGTGCAGCATCCATTTGGATGATGCGACGGCAGCCACAAGACAACGGCGCCAGTGTACTATTAGAGTGAGAATAGAGCCAATTCAGCGAATGGGGATATTGGGAGAACCATGATAGGTAAGGGCAGAAGGAGGGAATTTGGCCAGGACACCTCAGTTACACCCCTACTCTTTACGATGAGTTCCATGGGATTTTTAATGACCCCAGAGAGTCTGGGCCTCAGTTAAACGTCTCATCTGAAAGACGGCCCTCACTGACAGTATAGCATCCTCTTCACTTTACCGGGGTATTAGGACTCATGCAGACCCCAGACTGAGCGCCCCCTGCTGGCCTCACTAACAGCACTTCCAACAGCAACCTGGTTTTCTCATGTGGTCTCTCATCCAGGTGCTCATCCTGCTTAGCTTCAGTGTATAACCAGTCTTGGGCTGCAGGGGGATAAGGCTGTGGCCATCAACATTCAAAAAAGTTGTTCAACCTAAATTACAAACGCTTAAAATGTAGGTGCTGTTCACACCTGGAATAAAGATGCATTTTTGTCGATAAAAACACAAGTGGACAATACAGGTGTAAACAAGATGCAAAACTTTTATAGATTGTCCACTTTTGGCCCCATCCAGAGAATGTTAAGAACACATTCAACCACCGTGCCCTTGTAGAGTGGCTAAATGTTCCCTTACCAGTCCTGATAATGTTTTTTTGGCAAAAATAAACATATTTGTAGTATATTTGAAGGCTATGGCTGCTTCATTCTCTTCAAACAGCAGCTCTTATCATGCAGGGCCAGTGAACTGCTGTTTTCTCTTGAGACAAAGCTCTGTGAATGTGTTATTTAATGGGTAACGTCTTTGATCTGCTATTAACAATTTTATTCTATAAAATCAAAATCTTAAAATCTTACACAAGGTCAGTTCCTTCGCCTGACGATTCAAAGACACTAAATGTAATTACTTTCAATGTTCTATAATATTTGTTCAATGAATTTAACAAAAATACAAGCATAAGTACATGTTAAAACTGTAAAACAGAAGAGTGTAGTTAGTACAAGAAGTAAAAGAAATCGGTTATCTATAATTTCATCATCAATGAATAAAATTGCTCAATCATAAGGCATTTTTAATCGATCTGGTCCCTTTAATAAAAATTTTTGTGTATAGTATAGACATTATGCTAGCAAAAGAGAAAAATGTGAACGCTAATGTGTCTCCTCGATCCAAAATGCATCTTGATATCCAGTGTGAACTTGGCCTTCTCACCTCTACTATAGATCAATGTATTTGCTGCTCTTCTGAACTTTAGCACTGTATTAGCATGAATGTTGTATTGCAGTGATGATGGACTAACCTGAGCTGTAGCTGTCCGTAGATGACTGAGAGATGGAGCGAGACAGGGAGCGGCGGCCTGTTTTTGTAGGGAACTTGCTAAACTCCTGTTTGTCCTCCTGGTTGGCAAACTGAATCTGAAGAAAAAGAGAGGATGGGGAGAGAGCAAGAAAATGAATGTAGTTAAAGCATTCCAGTACCATATTTTGCTTTGTAAGACTCCTACGATATATTCATTAATCAAAGTACAAAAAAACACATTATGATTCTCATAATACACAATGCAGCTTCACTGCTTTTTGTATAAAATGGCTTTGGTCTCTCTAAACACCTGCTCTGCTTCAATTGGTTAGATGATTGGTCTAATCTGTCTCTGCACCTGTAATCTCAGTAATATGAACTATAGCTGCATCCATTTGCCAATTATAGGAGAGAAAGGAAGGTCTCCACAAGTTCTTATTTGCTTTGATTTATTTTGAATGTATCATATAAAGACAATGCACATCATACCATTGCAATACATATGGTCAACAGAAAATTGGCCCTCTACTCGCCCATTCCAACAAATAAACAAACAGATCGCCAGGTACAATGAAGGAAATGGAAGTGATCCCCCTTGAACCCGAGACAGTGATTAGCCACGTGTTTTGTAACTGACATTTCTTACACAACACAGAAAACAGCCTCTTCTAGACAACTATCAAACGTTTCCAGGCCATTCAGATACAACAATAGTGTTTGTGAGCAGCCAATCAGAACTATAGACTGGCAATTGTGCAGGAAATAAGACTGACGACATGTTTCAGGCGGTTCTGTTTCACTGACATTCACTAACAAGTATAAAGCAAGTATATAGCAATCATTACTGTATACCTCACTGCATGTCATGAGTCTTACTAATAAACATAACATCAACACATTTCAGCATGTTAGGTTAGACTAATTTCAAGTAGTTCAAAATGAATCATACAAACAAAGATATAGCTTTAAACCCTAACCACTGATCCTTAAATATACTGAAAAGCGCTGAGGATCAGCACGGTTTAAACATGTTCTGTCTTAATATAGCCCAAAAAGAGACTATAAATAGCAATATTGTACAATTACATAACAGATGTGAAGAATGAGTCCCATCAAGGGATTTCAGTTCTGTTTCGGTCACTTAAATAATGCAGACCTTGAAATATTTATTGCATATGTGCTTAGAGTCAGATGATGAAGTCTGTGTTCTGCTGTTTCCAAAGCTGGAGAATGCAGAGGAACCTGACTGCTAAATTATACCTTGTGCATCAAGATGCTTTGAGACAATCGCAAAGCAAACTGCTGCTAGACTGTTATTCTCTGCAGTAAACTCTATGATTGAGCTTTCGAACGATTGCAATTTTCTTTCCTGTGTTATCTTATTTAGCCAAAAGCATTAAGTTTAGACTGCCATGTCATTCAGGGACTTTACAATCAGTGCTTTATGTATGAATGGACCAAGATTTCAAAGGATAAACAAAATCAAGTTTAACGATCCAGAACAAATCGATGAGATCTTTGATATGACTTAAAAATGTTTGGTGGCTAAAATGACTCACATGCTGAAAAAATATTTCTGTAAGTTATTTTAAACATCTATTTTTATATTAACTGTGTTCATTTTCCATTTGCAATGGATTATGAGTATATGCCAATTAAAAAATAGCTCATCCAAAAAATGATACAGGCAGCTTTTTCAGACTTTATCACGTGTGACCTTCAGGAAAAGAGAATGCCATATGCTATTCTGTCCGAGATTGCATCTCGATCAGCTCCCTAATACCTGAGGTGGTTTATCAGTAGGTCGTGAGCATGGATTCAGGCCTTGGTAGGGCCCCTGATGAGCTTGGTTCACAATATATTGGGACACACTGATAATTTGAGACATGAGTAGCATGTAACAATAGCAGATCTAATAATTTTCATTTAATTATTTTACTAAGTTTATAAAATTACATTCCAGCTGAATAATTTGATTATTTCATTTACCAGCAACAGTTAAACCATTAAACAATTATGACTGTTTGCTAGATTTTTTTCTTACATATCTAGCTAGGTTCATTCATGTTAAAAATGAATAAATAAAGACTTTTCTAAGAAAAATGCATCCCATTTGTCATTATGTTTGATGATTTGCCTCAATTGATTCATATTTCACCTTTCCAAACTTCCATTCCGGGCACATAGTACATATTGATGTGCTATAATTTTCACTGTGCATTGTGGGACTCTTTAGGGCGCAAACAATTTCAGTGCACTTAAAAGTGTCACTTAAAATGGCTGATGCCCTGATCAATGCTCCGACTACTGAACAAGTGTTGCTGATTAAAATGCGCCCTGAGTCTGCAATATTATTTGGTTGATTTCACGTAACAATCACAAAAATACAAAAACATTTAGGAGTACATTAGCATATAGCATTAGCATATAGCCTAAAGCTAACACAACGACTAAAAGTCAATTAGGTTTTGGGTAATTAAAATGATTAAGCAAGGTAATATAATCTGAATGTAATACAATCTGAAAATGTCACAGTGCAAAGAAGCTGACAGAAGCCTTCTCACAAAGTACAAAACCAGTCATGAAGACAGAACAATCAGTGTTCCCCATTAAACTGCATGTACATGTAGGCCTGATCATATGTCTGAAAAAGAAGGGAGGGTGGAAGGGGCCGAGGGTTCTGGACTGGGATTCATGGCAGGCTATTAGATTTACACAGTAATGCGCAGGTAAATCACAGAAGCTGAGCTCTGGTTCTGCCTGTGCTCCTTTTTTAGACCTGATTTATGTTTCTTTCATGCACAGATGTCTCTTCTACAGACACGGATCTCCAGCAGCTCAGCTTCAAAGCATCCGCAGACTTAGATTTACAGCAAAACAAAACAAAAAACTATGAATATGACTGTGCTTTAGGAAACAGATTTTATTATCACAGAATCAACTGGTTTGATATGTAACCAGAGGTAATGCACATTTACGACTCAAACCCCAAAAAAGCCAAAACTGCCATTGATGAATTGCTAAAACAACATCTCATTTAATTGTTCATTTCAAAATGATTACAGAATCAGATACTAACACCTCTTAATATTTGAAAGTCTGGTAACGAAGAATTGGTTTTAAGCTGCCGTCACATTAATGTTTGAGTATGCGAAATTCTGTTGGACAGTGCTGCAAAAAGTAGTGGGATAAAACAATATGATGCAACACGGTTGCTCCATATTTAAATTTTCTGTTCAGAGGGGTCAAGTTTCGATCATCTACTGGCCTCCTGCATTTACATGATGAGAAATTGCAGGTCAGAGTTCACCAAATTTGAGCTTTGGAATGCAGTGACTTGCAAATCTAGTTTCATGAGCAAGTTTTTCCGGTCTGTCTGCATATGAATGGAAGTCAGTGGTGCAAAAAGTTCAGTGTGACCACTGTTAAAGACAAAAAAAAAACACATGACATAGATTTAAATGGGAAAAAATGCAACAGTTAATTTGGATGGTCTAGGAAAAAAAGCCCTGCCTTCTAGTAAAGGGGCCAATCATTGATATCTAGATATATCGACGCTATAAACAGACATTTGTCTGGAGAAGAAGCTTGTTCCAGACGTGTTTTTATGACAGTTTCTGCAGCTTCCTTTTTCGACCAACTAACGCACTAATCTTGGTAAATACTTTGCTCACAGGCATAAGAAATACATCTACAGTACGTAAAGCTTTAAATCTACACTTTTTGTAAATAAACCAACTACACTTAAAAACTGTATCGTAAAACGTATCTGTATGAAATAAACACAAGGTACAGTCTTTCCTGTCCAACCTCATTATTTTGAATGATTTCCCAACTGACGGCAATTATTTAATTAAATTCATTTTATGTTTATTTCTATAGCGCTTTTACAATGTAGATTGTGTCAAAGCAACTTAACATAGAAGTTCTAGTAAATTGAAATTGAAACTGTGTCAGTCCAGTTTTCAGAGTTAAAGTTCAATTTTTATTTTTATTTTATTTTTAAATTACCCACATACTTGTAAACAAAGATCATTTTGGGAGGAAATTTGTCATCAGGAATAACTAGGAAATTAACTTAGAAGACCAGCTTGGATACGGATCCGGCAGTATTGAGAAGATGTTAAGGAGTAACACTTGATTCTTTTGGTAGTTATGTAGTTTGTTTGAGAGGGTGAGATTTGATTATGTCCATCAGAAACAAAAATTAAGTAGTATGGTGTCGTATTTTTTTTGGTCAAGGTTCAAAATTTTGACAAATTTCCCCATTCAAAGAGTTAGGAGCTGCACTCCTTGTCAGGGATTTCAAAGATGGTCACTGAGTGATAGGACTTGCATTAAAGAGACTGTCACAAAGACAAAAAAAAAAAAAAACACAGTCATTAACAAAAAATTCCAGCAGACCATTAAATACCCCAAAAGCTCAGCATTTTCAGCATCTGGAACAGTATAATACAAAAATAGATTTTCAGTTTTAATCTAGTCACATTGGATTGGTCCAACTGTCAGTTAGCGATCAAAAATAAGTGGGCAGGAGGCTTGAGGCTAAAGTAACCTTCAATCTGTGACCTTAACCAGTGACATCTGTCTGATCATGTGTTTGTGTGCAATTTTAATCAGTCAAATAATCTGACCATCCAATATATTTACTGTCCAAGTGCAGCCAGAGACAGATAGAGATGGCAGAACCTCAGTCTGTGTATTATGTGCAAACATAAGATTTAGTCTAATGCAACCGATGAGAGTCAGAAGACTGCATTCCTTGCAAAAGGGTTCATTTCAATAGCTTTTTACAAGCTAAAAAACAGCAGATCCCCTCACCCTTACAAAACACAGCTGCCAACACATTTCCTACTGTGAACTACAGCCAATATGGAGATGCAGAGGAAAGTTGTTATTGGATAGAAACAATACCAAATAGCTCAAAGGACTTTTTGGGTAATAAAAGTTTAGTCACTAGTCATCTTTGACAGATCTTTTTTGTTTTTCATTAATCACTTAATGAATGGTAGAAAACATGAAAATTTCTTTTTTTGTGTGGTAATAAATGGCCAATTAATTTATAAATCTTAAACTTTTGCAGTTTATTAATGATCAAACTTTGTCTTAACAATAA